CAATGGACAATCAGTAATAGGGTGAGATTACTCAGCCATCTGTTTGCCCTAAAACCAAATGCCCCGGGGCCCAGTATCTATAGGACAATCTGTAAATGTGCTGACTATCCACACAGGGTGGTCATGACTATTAGTCAGGATGTCTGCTGACCATCAGCACATGACAGTGAGCCACTAACCTTTGTTCTTTTCTTTCTGTAAATCTACATGTTAAACGCCCCCCTCAACCCCCTATAAAACAGCCTCAGACTCTGAGCCAGTTGCCTCTCTGAGCTATTTTGCTTCGGGAGTGCCATCTGGCCAGACTAATAAAGGTCTGTTTTCCCAACATGGCCGGTGTGTTCCTTCCTGGGTGGTCCTCGCTGTAGTCAGCTCCTTGGAGCATTTGGTAAGGCCCTTGGCCTTACATTCTGGAGGCACCGCTGGGATCCCTGGGTGTGCTTCACTATAGTTAGCTCCTCAGAGCATTTGGTAAGGCCCTCAGTCTTACATTATATTCCAAAAACAGTTCCTCTGGCTGCTCTGTGGAGAGAGAGATAGCAATAGTGAGGATGGAAGTGGAAGTTCTGGCCTAGCTAGGATGTAGCAATAGTGTATGTCACAGGTATCAGGTGGCTTACTGGTATGACAGTAAGACTGACCTTATGTCAAGGAGCAACTGGACTTAGATACTTGGTTTCTATTTCTATGTGTCATTCACAGCTCTGGCCTAATACTGCTAGCACAGTATTAGGATGACAGCTCACTCCTGTGTAGCATTCACTGTTTTGTGGGTCATCAGCAGCTGCTGGTGTGTGGCAAACCCCAGGCCTGCCTCAGGGGCCAGCAATGGCCATCAGGGGAGAGTGTGGAGAGAGAACTGCGGGCCCAGGATCTCACTGGTGTTAGCTGCTCTGGGCCCAGTGGCTCTCCAGCTCATGTGTTATCTTCATGCTCCAACTCCTGTCCTCTGGCCTGTTTTGGATATCCCCTACCCCTTCCAGTGGTTCTGAGACTGACAGTTCATCCCAGAAAAGTGTCTGGAAATGTTGGGGAGCTAGGTGTTCTAATGACAAAGCCATGCAACTGACATTGAGGGGCCAGGAGCAGGGATGGTGGCTCCAACCCAAATCCCAAGGAAACTCCTGCCCCAAATGCCTTTGTGGAGATGCTCTGCCAGAATGTGACCCTATGAATCACGCCAATTTTATATTCTGTTTTTTTCTCACTAGCCATTATATTTTGTAGGGTTTTTTTTTATCATAAATGCATGTTGGATTTTGTCAAATGCTTTTTCTGCATCTATGGAGATAATCATATGGTT